CGAACGAATGAATCTGAACTGATTTATAGCAGCAAACAAGTCCGAACTCTGAATCCGACTGCATTAGCTTCTTTTGGAGTTGAAAAAAATCGTCTGTGGTTTGGACATTGTAGCCATAAGAAGCTGAAATATGTAGGACAAAACAATGAGTTATCATGAGCTCTGCAACTATGTCCGAATAACTCGCATGTGAAGAGGAAGGGATCGGAATCATAGGGTCAGAAGTAATCAGAATAGAAACTAAATTTGAGGACAAAGAGCTAAATTCAACCAAAAGGAAGTGTAAATGACCTTGGAGGTATGGAATTGTGCAGGAGGTCCATTAATCGAGCTTCCGTGCTGCAATGTAAATGCATCTCCAATGACTTATTATCGCTCTTCTCACTTCCGTCAAGTGCAGGCTTATAGCGCAGGCCTTTTGAGAGCTGCTATACAAAGCTTTCGTCAGGCCTGTCCTAGAATTTGGGTCAGTTTGTTTTTCTCCCGGTCACAAGAAAGCTTCTAAGACCGTTGAAAGGGTCCAGCAGTATTTTACGCGATGCGTTCTTCCTAATGCTGCTGACAGTTGTGAAAGGTGCCTTTCCCGTCTCGTTTTGCAGAGTCTGGAAGCCAAAAGAATTGTTTCTGATTTATTCCTTGTGTTTCAGTTAATTTATGTTGATTTAGACTGAAGGGAATTCTTGGATTTCGGGCTCAACACTGCCTGCACTCGGTTTAACGGCTTGTAACTTCGTCCTAGGCTAGCAAAAAGCCCATTGCACAGGGCTTCTTCAGTGCACGAATAGTTAAGGTTCGGAATGATTTGCCTTCGGAACTCGTTCGTGTTCACCTCGTTGGAAAGTCCGCAAGCACCACTAACAGCCTTGTTTTATGGTCCCTCCTTTGCAGGCACTGTATGCTATGGCTCTGAATTTCCGTTACGCTAGTCTTAAACGCTGTGTCTTTGCTATGCTTTTGTGTCTTTTGTATTTCGCTTCTTATGTACCAAGTGCATGACATGCGTATATGTTACTATATATGTGTTTTGCTTGGCTATTGAATGAAATGTGAATCTGACAGTAAATTCTACATTGACTGAAGACAAACTCTGTCAATGCTTTAGGCTAAAAAAAGGGAACTGAGGCAGAAGTGGGAAACGGGGCAGGGGAAGGGAGGAGGTGGGGCAGAGTAAATGGGCAGTGAAGTAATATAGTGGAGTTGTGCTACGAAAAAATGATACGATTTTTTATGGTGCATTTTTGATTTCGGGCACATTAAACGAATGTGGATTTTTCGACGGGCAGTGGTGTGTCGTGAGGGAGTGGGTCGAAACGGATCCTGATAGTGCAGTCAGCCATGCTCTGTGCGGTTTCCAGAGCTGTTTGAAAAGGAAGGTAGCCAGTTATTGTGTATGAAAGTTATGGGTGGGCGAAGAGTGTTTTTCTCGAGGCTGAAAAAGAAATGTGATAAAAGATGTGCAGCTGCAGCTGCGGCTGCTGCTGTTGCTGCATGGAAAAGATCAGCTCGATCGCTGTTTCGCTCATTGCCTCACTCACTCACTCACTGAGTGCCAGCGATCCAGTTGCACTGAACAGCTTGGCGGATATTATCACTGATCACTGTAATTTCTCATCCGGAGCAGTTTCCTGGTCCAGTATCCTGCACTTTTACATCACAACAGTTAATACGAATTCTCAGACGGCTCCCACCAACAGGATCGTTTGGACTTTCCGCGTGCAAGCTACGCGTCACGGTGAGTGAAGTTGCATGTAGCCATCGCTTACTGTTCTGACCAAGCAGGTTTCTAACCTTGAATTCATCATCCACCGCATGCTAAAAACAGCTGTTCGATCCGCTCAAGCGATTGCATTTTCGCAGGCCTACGGCACTATCATAACCATCATAAAATGAATTCGTAGCCACTGCTATGGTAGATGCGAAAGAAACATCGACAAACACCATCGATGCTATGATGTGCCCAAAAGCAGCAGCACTCTTGTTAAACATAAACAGATACGTCAAAAAAACCGTTGGCTCTCCTCTTATCCCCCTCCCCCCTCCCTCCTCCCGTGCTTGCTCTCCATGAAAAACGGGCAGTAATCGGCAATTAGCCAGAGTGGTAACAGATGCCAGCAGCAACTACCCACTGGTAGAGCTGTTGGTGGCTTCGTCCTTCGAAGGTTGTTTCCAAGTAAGTTGGCAGCGGCTTGGCTCCTTGGCCTGTGACAATTTACCATCGAAACGAATTAATGATTCGTAAAGAAACTGAATGTTCCACCGAGGGAGTGAAATCCTTGGCTTACTGCACGACAATACTTCCCAGTTCGTCATACCTGCCGGCAGATTTATCAAAACGCTTGGAAAATGCGACCTGAGGATGGAAAGATGAGCACACTTCCCGTTTTACTGAATCTAGAAAATTTGCTTGGGCAAAATTGTTCCAGTCATATAAAG